CTTCTTGAACGGACGATTCCAGTCCAACAGGGTGATTAACTATATGTAAAGGAACGCGATTGATCTTTTTGGATACCTCTTCAATGATCCCACTTATAAATTCATATTCAGGTTGAGATCTGCGACAGGGCAGAAAATCATGTGAAGTGAATCCAAAGTTAGTAGCCAAATTTAGTGTACACTCCCTACATCAGGATTCATTTTAGTTCCACTCTTTGAAGAAATAAGTATGAAAAATAACAGAAAGTTGCGGCGAAATGTACCCATGTTGGAAATGCCAGCCAGATAAGTTAGCCGCCACACATAAAGCCTCCCTCCACTTCCTCACTTTCTCCTTGTTGGCTTGGAATCGATCATCGTGTTTTGCCAACGCCTGTCCGTAACTCCCACGCTGGTGTCGGACATCTGATGGATCAACATCGTAGAACACCGGCCAGACCAACCGACCTTCTCCTCTGACGCAGTGAAGTATGTTGACAAGTTCATCAAGGCAGAAAGTAGAGGATGCATAATTTTTGGAGAAAACAATGACGGCAATCCTCGATTGTCGGATGGCTTCGAGAAGAGCTGGAGTGATTTCTTCCCCTCTTTGGAGACCCACATCATCGATGAAGGTTTGAACACCCTTTTGTTTTAGAGAATTGTAGAGATGGCCAGTAAAATTGGTGCGGGTATCTTCACCTCTAAAGCTAAGGAATACATCGTAAGTCCATTCACCGGCAAAGGAGGGGGATAGTAGTTCTCGACTTGCCATGATAAATAAACGCTGGGACTGGTATTGCTACTTTGGTAGGAACTACGGATGCCTCTGGCGTCAGCTGAGAGACTCAAAGTTCGATAGCAGGGTAATCAATCAAAGCTTACTAACCTGCGGCAGAACTCGCACAGCAGCAACGGCGATCTAGGAAGGAAGTTTCGTTTCATTTCTCTGTAATTATAATTCACCAGACACCACAACTTTTCAGTTTCTAAAGTTGAATGTGACAACTACTTTTCCCCACCAACGGTTGACTGAGAAGACTTGACCAAAAGAATTTTCCCTCCTCTTTTTTTTTCCCCTCCTCTTTTTTACTTCCAGGCCCTCCAAGTTCGAGTTAATTTCAAGAGCAACACAGGAGCCAGTGTTTGCCAGGAACTACGTATGCCTCTGAACTCTGATATCAGCTGAGAGACTCAGAAGTTGAGAGCTGAGAGAAAGATGAAAGGGTAGTAACCTGCCATGCAATTGTGGCATTACAGGGGCAAAACCCTCATGCATCACAATTTTTCGTTTTTCATGCTTCCTTCTTTTAATTTTCTCTCAATCCTGGCTTCATATGTTCATGGCATATAATCCTGGGGATAACTCGTTTTGGTTTGGGTGAAAGAATTCATGGAAATGGGGCCAAAATTAGTTTTATATATTTTTTCAAGTAAAAATAAGCTAAATTTGCAAATATGGGGCCAAAATTAGTAATAAATTAAATTTGCAAATAGAACGAGTTTCCTATGCTCAAATTCGACATTGATCCCTTTGCGCGCATGCAAGCGTTGAAAATGTATTTTAAAAAAAAGAACTGTCACTTAGATAATTTGTTGAGAGTTACCATAATAATTTGAGTTTTTTTTATTTTGAATTTCTGATAAATTTATATTCCTTAAAAATTACATATAATTAGTAAAGAATATGATTTGCTAAAGTTCATATATTAATATGGATATATGAATTTTCATTATCATTATTGTTCCTAACTCGGTAACTCGTATGTGTTATCGCTTAACAGATTTTTCTTTTGCTCATAACCACCAAAACTTTAATTTTAGTTGCTGCTTGATAATTCTTCATATCTTTTTTTTTTTTTTTGCCTGAAGATAATTCTTCATATCATGGTTACAGCAAAACGTCGATATCCTTAAAATTTCTTAAAATCAAGAGACATTTTCTTAATACAATTTTATTTATATTACCAAATCAGCATTTTCTGTACAGACGAATTTTTCACCTAAGTTTTTTTCAAAATAATAATTCTCACCTAGATTCTTTATATATTGAACTTTGAAATTTACTTAAAGAACAAGATCTTCTAGGCTTTTCACCATTTATCACATTTTCATTGGTCATTGTTTACTTAAAGATAGCTCTATTCAATTAATTTAAATATATTAAGAAAATTAAATAAATTAATTAATTATGAAACATATAAGGAAAATTACAATCAAGTCCTGCCTAAGAGAATTAAAAACAAAAAATCCTTGGAAATCATCAAATTATTCTAAAGTCCTAAGGGACCTCATTACAAAAAGATCCTTTGAAATCATCTTTTTTTTAAAATATGCATTAACATCTAAAAGTGCAGTAGTTAACAATTTAAGGTGTAATGATTAATAACTATTGCAGCAGCTATTGACCACTCATGTATTATATTTTTGTGATGCGTTGAAACAATTTGTTGTTAATACCTACAGCGATAATAGTTAATTGTTACCTTTAAATTGATAATGACTGTTCTTTCAGTTGTCAATTCATACTTAAAAAAAAGGGCAATTTGGGACTTCAAAATAATTTGATGATTTCAAAAAATCTTTTTATATTTAATTCTCTTGAGTGAAATTTTACTGCAATTTTCCTGAAATATAATATAAATTTGTAAATTGCAAGATACTCATGTATAACAATAAATTATACTCCTCCGATCCTAAATATAATATCCATTATATAGTATAAATTATACTATAAAATGGGTCTTATATTTAAGATTGGAGGGAATACTATGCTCGGTTCTTAGTATAAGACTCAGTTCATTAATTTGAAAAAATTAAAGAAGTTATTACATTACTTTAAACTATTTGTATTTATCATTTTTCTCCACACAAATTTGCCTCACTTATAAATTGATATATGATCTAATGATCCACATAATTTTTTTAGAGAATCACGTAACATGTGATATAATTAAATAATTTAGTAACTTTCTTAATCTTCCTAAATTACTTAACTGAATCTTATATCAAGAATTGTTGGTAGTATATAAGCTTATAAGTTAAGTAAATTAATTTAAAAAAATAATAAATATAAAAAAATGTTATATTTAACGTTAAGTGCAAATCCCCAGATGTAAAGAATGAGAGTATCCAATACGAATGAAGCATGGGACCGAATCCGTTGGAACGCTTTATTTCTTTTTTTTGGGACCGAAGACAAAATGATATTCATAATAAATTCAAACCAATTGATACACTGCGAACCTGCAAAATCCACCAAGAATATCTGATTTATATATGCATTATCTAAGAACTAATTTAATATTTAAATTAGTTTTAAATTTAAGACTTCAATTTACTTTATTTCTCTTATTTATCCATTTTTTTATAAAGTAGTTTTTGTAGTAATTACACATATTAAATATTTTATCAGATGATAATTCTAACTAATAAATATGGTTAATAAGGATATTTTAAGAAAAATAACATCTATTTATTATAAATAACTAACTTAAATAATTTTTTTAATTTAAATAGAATACAAAGTCATCCATTTTAGTATAATATTCGTTCGTTTTGGGTGATGAGCAATTAAGCCCTACCCGCAAACTTATTATTGACCATCCATTCCACAATTAAAATTAATGCATTATTAAATAAAACCATCACTTACATGATTTTAAATTGAACCTTTTACTATTCAAGTGATTATGATATGCTTAAAACTGAATCACTGGAGTCGTTACACTTAAAATCAGCAAAATATGCTTAAACTTTATTCTTGCATTTCTTAATTCACATATACGTCTTATATATGAAGAGGATGGCCTTAATCTGTTAATGACTTTAAGCATACAAATTTTTCGATTCGTTCGGCACATGAGATGTCTAATTAAATTATTATTAATCTAAGAATGTTCATCCCTTTAATAGATTATTCTTCATCTTTATTATATCGATATTAATATTTAATACTCTACTTCAACTTATTCTTTTTACAGGATACAAGTGATCGAATTATATGTAATTAAAATTAATTAAAAGTAGTAAATATCTAAAAAACGCACCTTATCTTTTAAAAATACTTTTTTTTTCAGAGGGAGGTAGTGTGAGATAATTAATGTAGTGAGATTAACAAATAATTAACGAGGCAAAAAAAGAATTATATTAAAAAATTTTGATAAATTATTAATGTATTTTAGAAATGAAAACATTTCATTCTAAAAATTTTTCAACCAAAAGCATATATTTGATCCTCTCATTCTATATAAAGTTTCAGTTTGATCCATTAACTTAAAAAATATATCTTTAGTTCTTTAATTATAAAATTATTGTTAGTTTTAAATGATGATTTTTTTAATAATCATAGTTATTTTAAAATTTAAATTTAATATATCAGTATTTAAGAATATTTTATTAACATTTAAGATCTCAATGTCATCAACTTTTGTTAATAATTTTTTGAGTTAAATGATTAAAAATATACTTTTTAAAATTAACAGAAAAAACTAAATCCTTATATAAAATTAAAGAACTATAAATGTTAAAAAAAATTATAATTCGAAGTTACGTACTCTTAATGGTTTTGTAAAGAAAAGGTCTGGCAGTTGAGTTTAGCGCCATTGAAACGCAATCACTAAATTCACTATAAATAAACTGATATACTACCTAATACTGTTTCGATCAGCCGTTATTTAGGTGCAGTGTTTACGTATAAACAAATAATCTTGTACCTTATTCTAATTGTTTTATATAATTTTCTAATCTAATTCTAATTCTGACCGTCGCAAGCTCTTTCTCTGTCTCTGTCTCCTCATCTGTTCGTCTTTTTGAAGCAATGGTATAGACTACGGTATGATCACATTTCTGAATTTTAGCTTTCGAGATTTCAAGCTACCAGCCCACTTTTGGGGTTCTTTTGCTTTTGAATTGGCCGATGGCGCAGTTTCGTTCCTGATATTAACTGTCCCTTGCCACTACCGTGTTTTTTTGGTGGTAAGAACCATTAGCATATGATTGTTGTGTGTGTGAGAGGGGGGGGGGAGAGAGAGATTTTTTTTTTTTAATGGTTTTAGGAGATGGTAAATGCAAGGGCGAGACAAGCCAGAAATAAAGTGAATGGAATCGTAGAAATCATTCTTCTTCGAACGAAATCGCTAATGGGCACTGTTTTGGATGGAAAATTAGTCAAGCTATGTTCAGTCTATGGGTCAAGAAGAATTCGGATAAGGAGTTTTTGGGTTGTAATGCCACTTCTGGAACCGAGGATTCTGTGTGTTTTCTATGCACGCAATGCGGCTTTTTTTCACTTTTTTTCCTCGAAACATCACTGGTTTTCTGGTTCATTATTGCTTTACGCCTTATCTTGTGCTTTTTGACGGGGTGATTCAAGGCAGCCGGAAAACGGGTTATCAAAAAGTGCAAGAAAGAGACGAGAGAATGCTGATATTCCTTTGCGTTTCTGCAATTGTTGCTTGTTTATTTATCTTTGGGGATCCTTTACTCGCAAGTGTCACTCTTAGCTGAAATGTAGCTGTTTTCCTGGTTGAAATTTATGATCTAACACCTTTTGCTTGACGCCACTTTACCTTGTTAAAGTTCCCAACTTCTAATTTTGGTTGAGCGGGAATCTTACTTATCAGTTCTCCCTATTGTGGCTGGGTTTGTGGCCAGTGTAATAGGTTGCCGGGTGATTCATACCATTAAGTTTTATGATTGATCGTCATGCTAGCCTGGTTTTAACTTTTGGAGTCTCTTTCTTCTGTTAATCACAATAGAACATTGACCCAGACAATACTTATCATGTCTCATGCTGTTCTTGTGATTTAAAGGCTTTTAAATGTATGCCTTTCTGACCCTCAGATTTTGCGAATGTTGTTGGCAGAGATTACTTGAATATTTTGTACAGAGATTACTGGACCTCTTGACCTGACTGGACAACCGGAGCCATCGAAGGGTGAGGGATAAGGTTGTTTAGATAATCTTTGTCTCTTGTTTTTGATGGGCCTTAACATAATGAAAATTCTCAAGAGAGTTCCTCTTTTCCCCCCTTATTTTTGTTATGCTGCTTGTAAGTACCTACAATGACTTATTTGTTGGTTAATCCCTCAGCTGTGGCCTTTTCCTTTCTCTGTTTTTGTTTTTCCCAAGTGTCACTACCTTCCTGGAATTTAGGCATAATAAATCACTTTCTTTGTCACCGTATTATATCAAAGCATTACTTCTTGGCGCCAAAGTGTCATATCAAATTATTACGAAGAAACCACCTGAGATTCTGAGATGATTTTTTTACTTGAGTTGATCTGCAGGTGTAACAGACCATACAATATGGGCTGCGTAGTGTCTGCTCGAAGGGAATGTGGTGGAAATAGAAGAAAACCAGGAAGTATTGGCGAAGTTTCAGTCTATGCTCCTGGTCTAAGAATTCCCAAACCTGTCGATTTTGCTCAGTATCTTGGTGATTACTTATCTAAGAATGCAGTGGAACGTCTATCTGCTCTCAGAACTCGTGTAGTTGTCATGGCTGGCCAAGAAGGTCCTACAACTACAAGAACAAAAAGAAAAAGTGCCACTCAACATGGTAAGCTTAGGAAAAGATGAAAACGTTTTATTTAAGAATGTTGTCTAATGTTATTCATGCATCGTATTATTCCATCTGCCGCAGGAGGTTCGACATTGGCTGATCTTCAGCAGGCTCTTGAAGACTACTTGCCAGTCCTTTTGGGATTAGTTAAAGATGGTAAGCATGCTTACTCTATATGTACTTGAAGTATGCTCCATCTAGGCTATGTCTTAACATTTATTAAATATCTTTATTGTGCAGGAAGTCAACTGCAACGCAAAGTACAATTTGTTTGGATTAATCAAGAGGATGATGCGGAGGTAAATTTTCATAATGGATATGTTATACAGGTCTTGGTTTGAGAATTTATTATTAATTGTTATTACTTACGAGTGCAGATCTTTTTTCTCTTTCTCCTTCTATTATTTTGTAGGAAACAGCCATGTCAAATGCTTGGTATGAAGTGTTGTCAGTTTTACACTTGATGGCAATGTTATCTCTATCACAGGCCAATTTATTACTTCTTCCTAGAACATCTGCTGATGGTTATCAGCCAAAAGTATCAGAAGGTGGGTAATACTGAACAACAAATTTTTGGTACACGATAACTTTGTTCCTTGCTTTTTTCTCTCTAACCTTTTGTTTTCTTCTCATACCAAATAATCAGCATAAATTCAGATTGATCTAGGCCTTCTGTTGGCTATGTACTTGCCCCCAATTTTATGCTTTTTTGCTGATAAACTGGTTTCAAGCGTTAAATTTTTGAATTATTTTGTGCTTCTTTGGAGATGTCTCGCATTGGTTATGTAGACATATGATTTTATGATTTTTTTTAACTTAAATGATCTCTTCATTGAAAACTTAATTAGATTTACTGCTGAAGAAAAGTATTTTGATTAAAAGTAATTACTAATGAGTCGTACTTCTTCTTGGTGTTGGACAAGAGACGGGATTCTCTTCCCCCCTCTCTAGTACAACAGAAATCCATGCACTAGATATATGGAAAAGGAGTACATAATGTTCCCGTTTGTTTTTGTGCCAATCTACCTGTCTTCTGGAAAAGGAATTTATATTTCAACGATAAAATAATTAAACTTCAGCAATAATTTTATTGTTCTGCTTTTTATATCAAGTGCTTCCCTACTATATGTTAGTTGTACAAATCAATTTTGACTTTTGGTACTCACTGACAGAAAGCCAACGAACTTCAATTGACATCTTCTTGAAGGCAGCTGGATATCTGGATTGTGCAATCAGACATGTTCTTCCCCAGTTACCTTCTGAACTCAGGTTTGTACAGATATGATGCGACAGCACTCTTTTTTTGGTAATCTCGTGGCATTTTTTTTTTTATATTTATTTCTCCTTACCACTGGTTCTGATTTTAGGAGAAATTTACCAGTAGACCTGGCAGAAGGGGTTCTTCAAGCACTATGTCTACAGGCATTGGGGCAGGTATTGTGATGTTCATTTGTATGTACATAAAGAAAGAATTATTATATTTGCTGACTTTCATCCGGCAAGTTTAAATTGAAAGACAGCTGACCTAGACTTGAGAATTGAAATCCTCACCAAAGATTTTGAAACCAAAGCTTTTATGACCGAGCAGTCAAGATTCTGATACAACTCCCATTTTCCAAAGTTAATTAAATTTAGCTAAATATTGTTTGAATTTGAAGGTTGTTAAAGCGGGTATCTCATGATCAGTGCCTTGAGATAGAACTCATGGATTCAAAATTTTATAGATTCATCTGTGGGTGACTCATCCACATGCCTGGTGTGGGTGTTCAATTCCATTTGGATTTATTTGTGTTTATTTCTTCCATTGACATTTTTAGGGTGTAGATGTCCAGCTTGGAATAGCAATGGATGATACCAAAGCCACTCTTGCAGTGAAGCGTAGACTTGCATGTGAGATGGTCAAGTATTGGCAACAGGTACAAAGGCTGGGTTGCACTTTTTATCTTTCCTGTGGGCAATGTTGCTATGTTAGGTATGCACAAAAGTGTTTTCTAGAAAGGAAATGGAAAGTGAACCTAGAAAGAAAATGAGATAGATGCATTTCTCATTTCCCTGGTGGAAAAAAACACTTCTCTACGTACCAAATATTGCATTACTGTTTCGTTATTTTTGGAGTTTCATTGGTAAGGGTTGTTCTTGTGCTTATACTTTCCTTTTTCTCATTAATCCCTCCTTACTTTTGAGTCTTTGCTATCATTTTCTATTCCTCTAATAGGTATAGTTAGTCATTGGCTATGTTTACTGTATCGTCCTTTGGGGTCCTTCATATGTTATTGGTTATATCTAAAATTTATTATGAAAATATCTAATTTCTTTTGGTTGGCTTAACCTTTACAAGTTTCTCTTCCTTAACCCAAAAAACTTTATTCCAATGACTTTGTGGGAATGGGTGGTGAAGAATTATTATTATTATTATTATTTATTGATAACATTTGTTCAACATGCATTTCACAGGCTCAAGACAACATTATGAACCTTCCATTAGCCAATGGTTGGGGCCAAAAACATTCTCTTTTTGTGAAGTGGAAGTATGTTGAATCAAAGGTATATCTTAAATTAATTTTGTTTTAATTATTTCAAAACTTAAGCATTTCAGACTTTCACTTTCCTCTCCCTCCTCCCTGCATGATGATTGAGGACATGGGGTGCTAGCATTTATGTTGAGCTCATTAGGTTATTCAAGTTTGATTTAATACACACACCTACTTGAATCAAAAACCTTTGGTTCAAGTGGCACACACACCTCCCTTACATGGGAGAGGTTGTGGGATCTAATTCCAAGTGGGCATATCCTTCCCCAAAATGAAGTTTGACACACATACCCACCACCCACATACCCACTTAGAGTTTGATCCCGCAACTTCTTTCATTGAAGAGAGGTGTGGGTGCCACTGGAGCCAAAGGCTCTTGGTATCCCAATTTGGTTATTAAAATACACAAACTGAAAGGTTGATTGGTCTTTATATTATATACTGGCCACGTTCCGATCTTGGTGTTTCTAAGCTGAGTTCCCTGCTAATGAGACAATGAAAATAATTCTGGACATGCGCACAGGTCTGTGATGGTCTCTTCTGCTCTCAAGTCTTAGCACACTAATTATTAAGTATAGGTATTTGAAGTCGTTGATATCTGTCATAAATTGTAATTAATGAACAGGCTGCGGCATATTATTATCATGGCTTGATTCTTGATGAGGGGAATACAGAGAAATCTCATGGTCTAGCTGCTGCCGCTTTGCAAGCAGCAGACGAGTATTTCAAAGAAAGTAAGAAGCTTTGTGAGGCATTCAATGCTGCACCTCCACTATCAAGGTTATTATTATTTCCCTTATACATCCCTTTATGTCTTGTTTCGGGTTTTCAATCTCCCATTTCCATTTTCAAAAAACACTTTTTCCTGCACCAAACATTGTATTAGTGTTGGCCATGGGCTCATGCACAATGCTTTTTGGTAATAACATATGATTTTAGGGGTGGCTTTTGATCATATCATTCTTATTTCCCTATTACATTTGCTGAACCTACTTCATTGATGTTCTCCGTCATGATGGCTTAACTTCATTTGTAATGTTCCTTTCATGATGACTATTACTGTATTACTAAAGACCTTTTATTTTTATTTTTTTCATGGCCGACCATGAAGAAATCCTCCGCTCTGGGGAACCATGAAGTATCTATCTGAAAAAATTCCCAAGGATACTTCAAGCAAGGTGCGAATAAACCATGATCTCTACTCTTATGAGAGGTAAAGTTTTCCAGACTTGATGACTGTTGCCTTACTTTTGTTTCACTATAATTATTGGATGATTAAAACGGCATGTTGGCTGATCAAATTTTCCGTTGCGTTTCTCTGCTTTTGTTACAGAATCATGGAAACAGCGCCAATTTTGCCTGATTTTTCATTGGCCTTGAAGCCGGATGAATATCAACTTCCTCAGGTGGATCCCTCTTGGACGGGGGAGAACACAGGGGAGGAACAAAATGGCCCTAACCATCTGAAGAGTTAAAAAATGAAGCCGAACGATTTACAAACCGCAGATATATGGCCGCCTTCTGCAAGGAAGGATGTCAACTTTAAGCACTAAAGGGTATTCTTTGCCACCAGAAGCAATTCAAGTGGTGTTTTTTTTTTTTTTTTGGGGGGGGGGTATGGTGTGGGTTGAGATTCACAAAAAAGAAGTAATTTTATTTCTCATAAATAGAGAAAAGTTTATTTTTCTTGCTTTTTTTTAATTCCTTTTAACTCCTTCATTTTCTTCATAAATCGATTTCCAGCTTGGTTGTTATGAAGGAACAATACTTTATCAAGGGCATATGATGTTAATGTTGCAAAATTTTTGCTTTCTGGAGCAATGCGAAAAAGAAAATCTGCAAAACCCCTTCTGGACTTTGCATCATCTGAAATAATGCACTGAACCGCCATATCTGAAATATTTTTCTCAATCTTCATGCTTCTAGAAATGGATTTGTTTTGTCTACCCTATAGTTATTACTAGTTATAAGAAACGTAGCTTCTAGACCGAAAGGAAGATAAAATCCACGTCACGTTGAAGATATATTAAACAAATAACAGAATACGAGTGAAGTAATTAACGCTGAAGACAAAATATAATAAACTCTTTAAGTATTTCACCTTCAGTCCCTATGGCACAGAGCGTACTCTAGAAAAACAAAGCGCGTATTTCCAAAATTTTGATCCTCAGTGGTACTGATTTTTATATGCCATATGTTGTTTAAGAGATAAAAGTCAGCCAAGAGATCCCTCAATTTGAATTAAAAAAAATGACAATCCTTTAATATATTCATGACTCTTTATTGGAAAATCCCCAAAAAAATTGAAATAGTTATTTTCATAGAAAGAAATTTAAATTGTCTGAGTCCATCAAACAAAAAGTACATATTTAAGCCGACTCATTTTTCTACCGTCAATTGGGGGGGGGGGGGGGACCAAAGTGTATATATATATTATAAAAAAAATTGGATTAGGTAATCAGCAAATTTAAAACAATCTTAAAGCAAAATTTTAATGTAACCCTGAATATTTAGTGTGGCATTTTCAATTCTCTGCAAGACCCCCACATTCCATAATCTGATCCCCTTAAAATCAAAAGAGGACAAGCCGAGTGGGAGAACGACGATTGACTCAAATGTTTAGAAGTGGCATTTTAATTCCCGAAGACCAGGGGGAGGGGGGGAAGAAGCTGCAAGAATCCATGATTTTTTACCTCTAAATTCAGAATGAGTAATATAACAGTAATCATACACTGCAAAAGCAAGATGTAGCATTAATACTGACTTCTGCATCGGTCAATCAGGTTGTTTCAGATTCTACAATTAATCTGCGGTGCCATTTGTATCATCCCCTTCAGTCAATAGTTGTTGTTTTTCTTGCTCCTCTGCAAAAAAAGGAAAAATGCAAACCTATTTAGTTATCACGCAAAGGCTCACAAGTGATTCAAAGGGATGCCCATAAACCTTTGACATATTTCAGAGTCCTACACATGGATGGCATGGAACTAATCACTGGTAATTAGCGAAAGTTCATGAATCATGACAAAGAACGTTGCCAGTTGAACCCAATGAAGAATTTTTAACATTTAAAACTGCTAAGAACTACTAAAATTATAGCTACTTGTCTCTCTGAGTTTCACAACGAATCTAACTGAAAATATAATCTCAACATTGGTTTCCCTTTTTTCCTCCCACAAATAGAATGCTCAATGTTATTGACCCTTATAACCTGAGCATGAAGAAAGCCCCCAACTCTAAAAAGAAAGCTTAATCCTCACATAGTCAACTATCATATAACAAGGAAAATCACTAAAAGACTATACCACTAATGCAGGATTCTGCGCATGACTGTTAACGATGTGGGAAACAGTCATGATTAGGGCGCCAGATTAGGCTCAATGATTCGATACGTATAAAATCAATTTCCTTTCAATTTAGTCCTTCAAAAGTGCCCCGCCAGAAAAAAGCATTTGAGGTTCTTTTCAAGGACCTTTTTTTATTAGAAGTGTTAAAAGGACTAATTTGAGACTCTTTAGAGGGTCCAATTGAGAGAATAACCTTTCAGAGTTAGAGAACCAAGCTGAAGAGAGTGGTCTTTTTAGAATTGAATCATACATTTGTAATTTGTGACATCAACATGATTTACGCATTGATACCGATAATTTGCAATACTAGGAGAGTCAGTACAAAGAGGTATCATGAGAGTATTTAACCAACTGGAAAATGAGAAGTCATGAAAATGCCAACCACTTACCCATAAGTTTGTAAAGAGCCTTCTGAGTTCGTTTTTCAAGCTTATCAAGCTTCTTCTGCACATCTCTCCGCAGGTCCCAGTTAGGTTTCTTTGGAGCAATATTCAAAAAAGGATCCTGCATGTTTGACCTCGAATACTTGAGTTGATGGACCACAAATAAATCCTTGATAGATGACAAGAATAGACCATATTGAAACAAAACCAATGACCTCCTTCTCAGGTGGAGGGGCAGCAGCAACAGGGTCTTCAAACTTTGGTAGCACGGCAGGAGCAAGCTTCCCTTCCTGGAGGTGTTTGTCCTGCGGAACATAATTACGAAATTTCATGGGATTTCTGCAACCACAAAAAACATGTCAGTTAAAAGTTAATAACACCAATATCCATCTCATATGAATTCCAAGTAATCATATGGAACTCGATGAAAAGAAAATTTAATAATTTTTAAACCAATACATATCAGAAAGATTAACCAATAAGAAGTTGATAAATTCTTTAAGGTGTTCTACCATTTAAATTTAAATATGCAAAAGCTTCGTAACCATATGTGATTTAAATTTTATTTGTATCAAAATATGTATAGTCATTTAAGTGATCTTGTACAGATAGTGTATGTAATGCCAGCATTTTGCACAAACAAATAATGCAACTTCTGTAAAGGGTAGTTCCAAGCAATTTGATATCATCTCATCTAGTTATCTTGATGTTAGTTGAGCACATACGTGCTGTTTGCCTGATTTACATATCCATAATCAAAACTACTATGACGCTAAAGACTAGCTAGACAATAATAACTGTAAGGCTCTTCTCATTTTCCAGCAATTTTCTTTAACAAACTGAGTGAATATCAGAACCCAGAGCTACTTTGTTGTGTGAGTTCATGCCATCCCATAAAATCATCACAGGGAACACATGGCCTAAAGTAACTTATGCTTCGTTTAGATGTATACAGAATCTTGCAGTCAGATATAAAGGTATACATATTTTTGCTAATACTTGCACATAAAAGAGATAGAATTGTAAATTTCAAATAACTATCCAGGCCAGCTTTTATACTAATTATTTCACCAACTGTTAAAAAAAATTAAAAAAGAAGTAAAAAGTTAAATTTACTAACTAAAATTAAAACAATTTCATCATTCTCAGTCAAAAATTGTGCGCTTAGACATATTTGAAGACGGAGTGAGAATGATAACTCTCGAGCTAGAAATTAGAAAATACATACTGCTCTTCAGTAGTTTCATCGTCATTTGTCTTATCATTAGCTTGTGTAGTGTCATCATCAGGAGTATTCATCAATTCTTGAGCAGCTTTAAGAGCCCGCAGCCTTTCTCTACGTGATGCAGCAGCTTGTTCGATGGAATCATCTTCATCACCCATCTTTACTTCAGAACTTCAAGGGCTTCCAATTGCTCTAAGTGCAAATTAGAAAGAGAATTCATTATTAGAAGCCTATGCTATTCCTTACAAACATAGAAGAAAAAAGAACAGAAGGAATGGGAGAAAGAGAGCGACTTAGAATTCAGAACTTCATCTCATAAACTCACATAACTATTCTCAGGTAGATTGCGTCCGTTAGTCATACCAAAGAATAACAACTCTAACAACGATAACTACTTCTCTTCCACATTCACAGTACTCCTAATACACAACACCAGAGCAGCGGGACACTACAAATTGAAACAAAGAAATACATCTGCGGATCAGGTACGTATCAGATAAATAGTTCTTCATAGGTATTTCTTTGCTCAAATTACAGGGATGAGTACTTCTGGATAAGTTTTCAAATGCTTGCACTTTGATACAAGGACGTGGCGTCACACCGGAATCAGCGGGCGCCGGCTCCAACAGTGGAAGAGGGAAAGAGAATAAAGGAATAGACAACGGGGAGGAGGAATAGAACCGCAAAAAAGAAACACAAAAGCGGAGAAGAGAAAGAGAAAGACATAAATTGGGAACCTAGCTGGTAATTTCCTCACCGACGAAAGTTGAGACGCCAAACTCAGTTCAGAATCGCCGATTGATGAGCGAAAGCCGAATAGGAGGCCGTTTTGTTTTGGCGACGGAGCGCCGGGGGGGACATAAATATTTTATTTCACCTCGGCTTTTATTTTCCGGAACCATCCTTCTGAGTTTGATTTGATGATACTATATTTATTGTTTAATATACAAATTAGTTTATCTTTTAATTTGATTTAAATATGAGATTCTAATTTAATTTGTTTATCATATTAATCTATTTTTTTTAAAAAATCCTTAAACAAATTGTAATTTTACCTAATATTGGTTAATAAAAATATTTTAAGAAAGATAACACCTGATTATTACACATAACTAGCTTCACAAATTTTTTTAATTTATTTAAATTAATTAACTGATTTTTATATTAAAAAACAGTATTATTGTTTTTTTATAGAAAATCAGTAAAATAAACTATTAGTTAGCCAAAAACATGATATAATTATTCTCTCATAAAAAGCTGCCCGTACTTAGTAACTCATTTTGTAATATAATTTACATTCTAAAATAAGCATTATTAGAGAACATATCAAAAGGTTTTAAAATATAATTATACTCCTCTGGTCTTTAATATAAGATCAAAACCAACCCAATAATTAGGTTCTATATTATTTATTAATTTTTGGCCCCTAATAGTTGATTTTGATCCTAAATATAAGATTTATTTCTTATATTTATTGATTTTTCTTAAATTACCATTATGGGTACTCCCTCAATCATAATTAAATAGAAGAGGAAAATGGAATATTAAGGAAGATGATTATAGTGTTTTTAGAAAAACATGTCATATTTTTTATAAATAACTAAATTACCTAACTTTCTTAATCTAATCAAATTAGTTAAATAAATTTTATATTAAGGATCATATAAGTAATTTAAACTTACATACTAGTGCTTAACTTATAAATTATATTTAACAATTTATATTTACAAAGTAAACTTTTATATTTGTAAGTCAAATTAAAATAAGAAAGAATTACAATCAAATTCTACAGAAGAGAAATAATTACTAAAAGATTCTAATAACAACTGAGCAATCCTACAGCGGAGAATGACAATCTCTAAAACTTGTTTTGTAATTTTTTTTATGAGATTTAATTGTAATTCTCTCTTAAAATAATGTTAAATTCATTAAAAAAAAAGGTAAATTTTTTTTATTTAATGCTATGAAAATGAAAAATATAATACTACCTCCGGTCCTTAATATAAGACCCTATTTGATTTTTTGTTTGGTCCTAATTATAAGATCTCAATCTATTTTGTCTCTCATATTTATGCATTTTTTTCAAGATAGTCCTTCTAATAATGATAGTTCTAGCCAATAAACTTAATTAGCAAGGATATTTTAGAAATGACAATACTTATTTATTATAAATAACTAATTTAACTTACTTCTTTAATCTCCTCAAATAAATCAACTGTGTAATTAGGTATAATTTACTATATACGACAATGTTATTGCATTGGCTTAGGAAGGAGCTTGTTTTGCTGACTCCTGTGTTTGTGCGGAAACCAAAACCTTTGACGCTGAAGTTGTGTGATGGTGTGATCGACACCTACAATGAAGGAGCAGAGAGATGCAGAAGTGGAATTGGCGAAGCAGAGATGCAGGTTCGTCATTGATAGAATTCAAGAGTTGCCTGCTTCCACCAAGATCACCGACTCATGCCGCCGCACCCTTCTCAAATTAGCTCGCTCCGAGCTCTCTTTCCTATCTTGCTTCGCTTCTTCTTCTGCTACTACTTCTACGCCTCTCAGGTTCGTCTCATTTCTATATGCCTTTCAAGCGTTTCCATCTGTTTGGCTGCTAGGAGGATTAGTTCAAATGTGACTGATGAGGCTTTCCGCTCTGTTTTCTGAGCTGATACGAACTGTTATAGTCCTCGTCTGTTCGAAAGAAAAAAATGAATACAGTTTTTTTCCTTAAAAAAATTTATGTTAATGGATACAGTTTTTGTCTGTTGTCCTAGTCGAATAATAAATTGAAGGAATACGTCTTTTCTCTTCTGTTGTGTCGTCGCAGCCTGTTTTGGACGAGAATAAGTTTTTGGAAGGCGAAATTTATGAGATACCATATATTGATTGCTATCCATGAAGGTGTCATCCTGTTAATGGGGCAGGAATCATTGGACTATTCTGTAAATGAGAATTAAAAACGTTTATAGATATATTTATAAGATGCTTGCATATATTAGCTATGAAAGCTTCGAAATTTATGTGCTTTATATAAAATAATATAATAATGTAGTGATGTTGAATTTCTATACATGTCAATCTAAACCCTTTTTTTTTTTTAACCGATTTTCAAACGTGTGGATAAAATGGATCCCCGTGAACTAAGAGATATCTCGAGTTGATTTCTTTGTGTCAACTTAATTGTCGTTGGAGGTTGGCGGAGGGCATTACGTACCCTTCTGTGGTCATTAATCATCTGAGCAGATGATGGAGCAGACTAGGTCTTTTTGGCTTATCACATGATGAAACATTTTGTTAGGCCTATTGTCTTGTCTATTTCTTTAGAATAAGACTTTAACCTGATGAGATAACTTCCATTTTGGAAACCAGGGGAAAAGGATTGGTTTCTCTTAGTCTTGATTTCAGCACAGAACTATAAATTCTATTTGATGGCAAAATGATTAATCTTCTATTGTCAAATCATCTCTTTATGATGACAGTGTCAACATTGGACACCTTGAGGCAGTGGTGCACATCCTCCAGCAGCCTTTCATAACCGGAGTTTCTCGAGTTTGTAAGTCAGTTCCACTCTTACCTACAGTCAGAAGAGAGGAGAGTCGTTGTTCTTCTCTCAAAGACATCCATGTGGATATAGTGTGTACCTTCAACAGGAAACCAGTCTGGATTATAGTGTCTAATAGAAATCCAAGGTACATTTCTTGGCATAGATGTCATAAAAGTAAGGGTTTAGAATTGCGCATGCAAGAAGTCCTAGCTGCTGCACAATCTAGCTTAACATTAAGACCTTCCGCAGTTATACTTTTCTTTGCTAATGGGATTGCAAACCATGTCTACAAAAAACTTCAAGATAAGTTTGGGGCGTCAGAAATTGGATTGGGGCCTTCAGTTTTCAACTTTGATGCATTTGAGGAATCAGAAGGAGACTGGATAAACATACTGGCAAGATCTTATAAAGATGCTTGCATCCTTGAAATAAAACCGACCAATAGCAAGGATGCTGTTTCAGGGGTAGAACATATTGACAAAGGTTTGACTGTGGACTCTGCTCAACTAGGGGTTTCAGTTGAGAAAACTGCTCAACCTCAGCTTTCTGTTGAAGATTGTGAAGCCAACATGGCTAATGCATTCTGCTCCATTGTTCTGGGACTGAAATTATGCTCCCTGAAAATTAAAAATTTAGAATCTTCTGAACCAGGAAACTATGTTAGAGAAGTTGATTTGATAAATTTTGATACAACAGCTTTGATAGCTCTTGTAACAGGAATTAGTAATGGTGGTGCCCAGAATCTTTTGGCTCGTCCAGAGAGTGAATTGAGGGAGAGATTCAAAGGAAACTATGAGTTTGTGGTTGGTCAAGTGAGTAATCTCACCCATATTTGCGCCACATTTTTTCATTTCTTTATGTTATTTTCTCCTGGTGAGATAGTCATGTTATCATAATGGTTATCTACCCAGCAGTGACTGTAGGCCTCATGAATTTACACAATGAACAGCTAGTTTTTTTCTCCCCAAAAGAGAAAAAGACCAATATGTTTGGTTATTCATCCCTAAGGGTCAGATAACGCACATCATGATTATTCAGTTTTAAAGTTTGACTTAATCACGCTATGTGGTACTTGGGTCTTAAACATGAGAGCTTGTTTGGCTGGTCCTGAAGTTGAACTCTTTTTCGTTAGAATGCAGAGCTATTTAACTACACATCAGACCTTTTGAATTTCAAAGGATCAAATTGAGACTTCTTTTTTCTAGCTGTCGATCGGTTTTTTTATGGCATTTACAACTGTAGACTTAATTTTAAACATTTGATGGCTTTCCTGGCTTGTAAATAATTCATTCCTTGTTTCCTTACTTCGCCATATCTTAATAGATCTCATTAACATGATTACCATTTACCAGCAATAAGAAATATTTTATAACAATAAACTCTTATCCACAAGTTTTCTTCGTTTCAGTGTCCTTATTGAAAGTCAACTGGAGCAATGAGGCTGTTAAATTGATTGTCAGTTACAGTACTGATCAGATTTCTATCATACGGAATAGCATTTTTCAGATAAAATCACAGTATGGGCTAAACGCACAATGTAGAATTATGTGTTTTGTATTTTATGTAGTTTTTCTAAATTATAAAAGCTTTTCTCAGCATTCTTCTCATTTGGCTGAAGTTTTTCTCACCTTTTTCTTCAGGCAATGTCTGAAATTCAGAATCCAATCCATGTGGAATTCAGCAGAGTGTTATGTGGAAAGACAGGCATGATTTGTGAGAGTGTCCATATGGAATTCAAGGAGTTGGTATTAATGTGTGGAGGGCCGAATGAGAAACTGATAGCTGACAAATTAATAAATAGCCTAAGGTGAATTTGATGACTATATTATTTTAGTTGCCAAATCACTTATTTTATTCTTCGAAAATTCCGGGCATATGCTGTTTTGTTAACCATAAGAATCATTTAGCTACTCCATTATTGTTATCTAGTTCTGTGGAACAGCCCAATGGCAAGGTTTTTATCAGTATTTGCTTTGTCTTGCGGATTGCAAGAACCAGCTAAGGCATTAACACCTAATTAAAGATAATCTTTATAACCTCTATGGAATATAACAATGTTTATTGCTTGGTCGCCATGCTTGAATAATTGGTCATACGTAATCAAGTGGAAGATTAATTCTTGGGAAAATTCCAGAAAAGGTCCCTCGAATATATGAAATCCCAGATTGGGTCCTAGAATTTCCAAAATGACAGAAAGGGTCAGTGACCCAATCTGTCATTTGTGAAATTAAGACCAATTGACAATTTTGCCCCTGACTAAGTGAGTAGTTATTCTCTACACAAATCTAGGTAACGCTTATACTGTTCTAGTGATTACAAGATTAGTTGTAGTTAATAATTACAAGATTAGTTGTAGTTAATAATAAGGTGCCTGACTATGAAAAAGTGAATAGTTATTCTCTACACGAATCTAGGTAATACTTACATTGTTCTAGTGATTACAAAATTAGTTGTAATTAATAACAAGACATCTGAATATGAAAAAACAAGTAGTTATTCGCTACATGAATCTAGGTAATGCTTAAACCCTTATAGTGATTTCTTAAATCATTGTAGTGAATGAATACAAATAAGGGCAAAATTGTCAATTCCTCTTGATTTGCCAAATGACAGATTGGGTCACTGACCCTTTCTGTCATTTTGGAAATTCCAGGACCCAATATGGGATTTCATATATTCGAGGGACCTTTTCTGGAATTTTCCCTTAATTCTTTATTATTCCTAGTTAAATCTAGTGCTGTGTAGTTAAACATTTACTGAAGTCGTGGAGTTGCTCTTGCTGAATTTGAGTTTCCCCCTAATTTGGTATTTATGTAGTTCACATAAACTTTGTTCGTTAGTTTTGATTTTTCAACTTGCTGATGTCCGATCTAATAGTTTTAACATGTTTCTCTAACAAACTGGGGGTATTTTCTCAGGGTTGTTCCTGATTGTCCATCAGAACGGATGATGGGCCTGCCAACAACAAGAAAGTTGGCAATGAAAAATAAGGTTGTTTTTGGCACTGGTGACTATTGGCACGCTCCAACTTTAACTGCAAACATGGCGTTTGTCAGAGCAGTTTCTCAGACAGGGATGTCCCTTTCCACTATTGAGCATAGACCACGTGCCTTAATTGGTGATTAATCATTTAGTTGCATGCATTCTCCACATGAACACTGAAGGCTTTCTTTCCCACAACAATAACAGGCAATAGAGTGTATTTTCAATTAGAGGGGGTACCTTGTCTGTTCATCAAATCCCCATTGCTTGAGGAGTTCAGCAAATCTAAACATTGCAATTTATTTAGTTGTTTAAAAGCCTCATTTGACTTGCCTTGTAAAATAGGTATGGAAATACGAGAAACACTAAAGTTTTATGTTTTGATGAGAATTATAGAAGTTTTTATAGTATCGTATGTTTATTTCATTAGCATACAATTGACTGTTTTATACGACAAAGCTTGATGATGCACCTCTGATAAACTATTTACCACTATCCTCTTGTTGGATATTTTAAGCATTTTGTTCTTGTTAGCTATTGCGTATTGTGGTTCCTATAAAAGGCCCATACGTTGAAGTAGTTCTTAAATTGTCTGTCTGCTTTCTGGTTGCCCGACAGCTGTTTCTTCTTGTCGTAGAGCACTTGCTCTATTATACTATTATCATTTTCACATTCTCCTCCAGAGGAAGGCCATAAGTTAATCTTTTCTTTTTATTTTTGGTTAGATGGGTGGGCCTTGAGATTACAAAACTTGGAAGAAGAAAAACAAAAGAAAAGAAAAAGAAAAAAAAGGCGCCCGGGGGGGGAGATCAAGGTCAAGATCAGAACTAGCGGCACTTAATGTTTAGGAAAGTGTCACTTCAGAAATAAACTCAAGCATATCACATGCCAGTTTCCCTTTACTAGTGATGAAAGAAGATTGGTAATTGAAAAAACTTTAATTTCCTATGATAACGTTTATTCAGAAAAAGAATAGATCTTCTAATGCAGACACAGAAGAAATCCTTCAAGGCAACATGAGAGACTGCCACTGTAGGGTAAAATGCAGGCAAGGCAGAAATCATCATCGTGTATAAAACTTAAAGTTTGACTCTGAATTTACAGTCGCTAGCCTTGATGCTTATCGGATTATTAGCAGACAAGCTATCTGCTGTCAACATACATTCACCCAAGACTCTGACCTTTCTCAGCTTCAACCTCCCGAGTTTAATGGCTACTGGTGCGTGGACCTTAAGCTCCAAAGGAACACGCCCTGTCTGCTGCTGTTCCTGCAGTGCTGCCATTAAAGTGCTTCCAGCTTGCACTTGACCGGTCAAGGACACATCAAGTACTGTTTTGTTCCGATGGCCTTGGTAAAACTCAGGTAATGATCCTTCGCAAAGTTGAGTGTTTGAGTACCACACACTCAACCCTCCTCCTTTCTCATAGTAAATTCCAATCTTCTTGTTTGGGTTGTTCGCTGTAATCTTCACATCAAACTTTGCATACAGAGTCATGTCAAAGTTCAACCTCAAATCACTTATCCTTAGGCTGTTTACTGAGTAATTGGGAAGCTTTGGTTTGAAAACTAGGTAGATGATTCCTGCAGTTGCTCCCAACATGATGAGTAGGATTATAAGCAAGACTAGTGTCCAGCATATGCATTTACAAAAGCAACCTCTCTTTGGTTTAGGTGGGTGGATTACAGGCCTAGCATGTTGTATTAACGCAGGGTGTTGCTGCGCCATCACCGGAACACTCTTTTCCGATCTTGATGAGCCTGGCAGCATCAGTGGCACCGTTGGTGGTGAAGGTGGTGGTGCTTCTGTGGCTTCCATGGGATAGATTCTCTGATGATCTGCCATGGATGAGTGTCCTTTGGTTCTTTGTACGAGCAATAAGGACGCTAGTGAAAAAGCATTGTTTCAATGGTGATGAGTATGGAGATATAAAGAGTTTGCTTATTTGACTTCTGTTGCGAAGATTGATGTGTTGGAATGTGAACTTGATTGGTGTCACAAGAGCGACAGGGATGAGGTTACCTTCCTTACCTAAAAACAGCATTCAAAGAGACAGAATAGCTTTTGTTAGGTTATCTAAAAGTTGGGATTTCACGAATGATACGAGTTCTCATTAGCTTAGAGAGAGGGGGAACTGATGCATTCTTCGTCATCAAGGTCACAAGTCAGAATCTCTCAAAAAAAAAAAAAACGAAAAAACAAATGTCGCGAGTCAGAAAAATAAGGTTAGCAATCTAGCATTGTTTACTCTCCAAAAGTCAGCTCTAATTTGGTTTCTCCCTCGAAATAATTAAAATTTAAGTGAATAAGTAATTTTGAGCAATAAGAGGGGAATATTTGGGGGGGGGGGGAAAAAGGAACCGAATTGCAATGAGTCAAAAGTTCCGGCTATGTGCTTGTAAGTTCGGCTTTCACTGAGACATACAGATGAATATTTATAAAAAATGTTTAAATATTTAGAAAAATATGCGCATATTTTGTTGTCTAATAAATAAATTTCCTTTTTGAAAAAAAATAATTTCCCCACATTCCGAAGTTTTCAGAATTAATCTTTTATAATACATTAGGTTGATATTTATTCACATGAAATTTCAGACGCACCCAGATTAATACTACTTCCGGTCTTAATTATAAGAGCTAGTTGACAAATTTGAGGAGATTAAAGAAATAAGTTAGTTATTTATAATCAATAGGTGTTGTTCTTTCTAAAAAAAATCCTTACTAATCAAGTATAGTTGCTAAAATTATCATAGTTAGAAGAACTATCTTGAAAAAAATATATAAATATAAGAGACAAAATAGATTGAAGTCTTATATTTAGAACTAAAATAAAAGTCAAACAATGTCTTATATTAAGGACCGGAGGTAGTATTTCTTAATTACTTTATCTTTTATACTAATTTCCGAACTAATTATATTTCAGGGTGTGTTTTAACGTATAGTTTGCAATTCATGAACAAATGCACAGAAAAGTTCTCCCTTACCTACTCCCTGTTTGGATTTCAGTCCTTTATGAAGAAATTTGAGGTTAAAATTGTTTAGCATATAATTTATCATTTATATTCCTTTATAGATACTCTGCTAAAAACCTTACGGAGACTCAAATTTACAATGAAACATTAAGGCATTTGAATATTGATACATTGACAAATATTGATATAAAACCTTTTATATGTATGTATATATGTATGCCTTATAAATAGAAGGGCTTATTGTCTAGCTTTTTGGCTTTTAGCACTGTCCAGTACGGAAGATCAATGACGAGGTTCCTCATAGTTCAGTGATTAATACTCAAACGTATTAAAAAAGAAACCTTACATCCACAAAACATCAAAAATTAGTCAATTTTTCACGCGCAAGAAAATAAGTGTTCATTAATTGGCTCTCATTCATAAGCCTTCAAAACAGAAAGATCCTAGAGCTCACCTCTTAGGTCCCAGTCACTTATTTCCAGTTCTAATGCCATGGGAAGAAACATTTCACTTGGTAGAAAACCTACTTGGCCGCAGGAATTCAACATAGTAACGGCAGCATGATGTTGTGTTCTTGAAGACATTGACGACAAACCATGAACAATGTTGTCCGTACAAATAACTTTCTTGCAGACAAGTTCGTTGTCTTCTCCAATGATATTCCATTTTTTGCTTTTAATTCAAGAAAACAAGAAGCCACAGGATTTACCTGGGCATGTGGATAACACAGCGCAGACACTTTCCTTCCCTCATGAGATTGAAAGCTTTGTTAATTTCGTTAAATGGCAAATCGTGCGTTATGTAATCGTCAATCTCGATCTCCTGCACATTTAATAAAGATATTAATAGGTATTTCTTCACAAAATCACCGCTTAAAGACATGAGGAGAAAGCCACAAGTTGGGTCAAATGATACAGTTGAACATTTGGGCTAGTTGTATTTTTGCACATTTGTTCAAGTGTATATGTACAAAGGAATCACAGATCATGGGAAATATTGCAGTTGCTGTTGCTGTTGCTGTTACCTTATTCACATACTTCTCAACTAATGAAGGCAAATCCGATTTGGGTTTCCATCCTCCATACAAAGATCCTTTCAATGTTCTTCCCATTAATAACAGTGCATAGTGAGCTGACATCTCAGGCTTCACTTTTGGCACACCAAGGGTAACAGTCAAACCCCATCCCTACGAGGAAAAAGGAAAGATGCAATGTAATTGCGGTATAATTTCAAGTTCATTCTATAAAAAATCTATCAACAACAAAACAAGATCTTTAGTTACCCAGGTTTAGAGTATTACATCACAGCATGACTGCAATGCAGTGGTTATCATATCAGTATCACCGACGCATTCAAAAGAGAAATCAGCTCCACCATTGGACATGCGCTTAATAACCTGAAATGCTCAACGTATAAATAATTGTTACAACTCCAATAATCTTTTTTGAGTTCATAACGCATTTATCTGCTGAAGCAAAATCATATTATGTCCATTCAAATTATGAATAAGAGGGAACTAATTTGTTCCGATGCCCCTCGCATTTCCTGGCTCACATTTGAGAATTATCTGTCACAATTAGTATGTCTTATCTTCTATAGACAATTAAAAAAGGCTGAATCACAATTTTCACAATGACATTGACAAATACCTGTGCGATAGGTTCATCAAAGGAATTTGGGTTAACAACTTCTGTAACTCCAAAAGCTTTAGCTGTAGCAACAACCAACATGACAAACATGTAAAAACGAAGATTAGCCTAGGCTCAAATTTAAATCAACATATATATATATATAGAGAGAGAGAGAGAGAACTGATCCTAATACCATTTTCACACTTCTGAGGGTTGTTGTCCACACCAATTATTCGAGATGCCCCCCTAAGTTTAGCACCTTGCGCAACCTAATTACAAGGAAAGTCATTGTCTCATTACAAACTAGAATGGAGCATCTCTCATCTTTTAAAAAGCTAAGGGGATACAGAAGATGATGGCTAGCGAATCCTTCTACTTACAGAAAGGCCAACAGTTCCCAGTCCAAATATCACTACTGTTGATCCTTCTGATATATTAGCAACATTCCATGCAGCGCCCAGACCTAATGTGGTAATTTATGATCAACCAAACCAACCCAACAATGACAAAAGGAAAAATATTATGCTCCATTGAGAAACGACTTTTACCAAGAACTATGGTCCACACAGTGTAAAGAATACATTATATATATTGCAGCTAATTACAAAAAATCAGCGAGTTTCGTGGTGATGAACAAGAGAGAAAAATTAAAGAGCAGCATATGTGTTATATGCTACAAGCTGCTAAGCCCTGAGAGTTGTTTCAGAGGATTCAAATCTTAACCCGCACTATCTTGGCTACAAGACTTGCCACCACTTTGAAAGAACAAATTCAGTCTTGAGTAAACAATATGAATTGATTATCTTTCCAATTTTCTAATAGCAACCAAGAAAGTGTTTTAAAAGTTATTAATCATAGCATTCAGAACCTAAAAGCTGAAGAAAATGGTAGGCAAATTTTGCCAAAACTTGAGCTAGGTGAAAGAAGTCTAATAAGCCGTAAAGTTGAATAAAACACTTCAAGTAGCTTGAACTAGATCATCTGTCATGATGGGTCAGCAATTACTACTTATTATCAGTTGCCAAGGAATGTGGCATGTGAAAAACGTGATATCTTTGACTTTTCACACAATTCACATGAAGCAGAATTATTTACTTCGTGATCCTTTGTTGAGAAGATCTCCAGTCATAATATTACCACTACAGTTAGACTTCTCCATTACACATAATTGTCATTAAAATATAAAACAATATGTTAAGAAAATGCCTACACGGACGCATGAACCATGCCTCCTCCAGTCATTCCTTGGGGTTAACAACAAAAAACTGAAAAACTCAGCTGGACCACCACCTCAGTTCCTTAAAATTTTACTTTTGGCCAATTAGACACATTTTATATGTTGATCTACCGGTTGTTCCACCCTGCATTTCACACGGAGCTAATGTCATATACATGGAAGTTAGAAGAATTACCTGCAGCAACACCACAGCTCAAAAGGCATATTTTCTCAAGAGGAGCATTGGAGCTGACTTTGACTGCACACCCAGAATGCACTACTGTATATTCACTGAAACTTGAGACAGCACAATAGTGATAAACAGGCTTCCCTTTTACTGAGAAACGTGTTTTCTGATCACTATGCATTAAACCTCTTCTTTCCAATCCCAGAACTTGACATACGTTTGTTTTCCCAGATCTGCACAGCCTGCATGTCATGCATTCTCCAATGAAGACAGTCAGCACATGGTCTCCCTCCTTGAATTCAGTCACTCCCTCGCCCACGCTCTCAACAATCCTGCAAACCAAGTACTGAGTATCCATCATCTGTTGAGGATATTATATCAGTTACAGTCAGTTAGTTCCTAAAGTGACATCCTCAAAGCGATAATGCATCTCATGATTGTCACAATAATGTTTAAAATCAGCTATACCCTATGTGATCATCACTTCAACAGAACGAGGCATCTCAAAGTTCTGTCTAATTGTCATGCTGGTTTATTGGGTAATATAAAGAAAAATAATGATGCTAAAATAATAATTTAAGGATCAATTACGACTCATTATGCATTAATCAACTTAGTAGAGCAAAAGAAATTTGTTACCCTGACGCTTCATGACCAAATATTCGAGGAAATAAGGTCTGCACAGAGAAAGAACTTCCTGTTAGATGTTTAACCCCTGTTTCAACATAAGTATCACATTTATACGGAAAGAGGGATGGGGGATCAAAACAAGGAGATTGAAGATAAAGCAAAGGCATAATAATAAAGGGGCGAGGGGAAGAATACTTGGGATTCCCAAGCGGAGATATCGCTGCGACAGAGAGAGGTGGAGACAACTTTAATCCGAATCTCCGAAGGTTGGGGAGGGTTCACTTCAACTTCCTCTACTACCAATGGCTCTCCAGGTCCCCATGCCACTGCAGCTGTTTCACATCAAATGCACATATTGATTCATTTGTTTATCAACCACAGAGATTTTAGCAGAGAAAGAAAACAGATTGATTGATAATAACACAATCTACCTTTGCAGGTGATGACTTGAGGGGCAGGTGAAAGCGGCATTTCTCTGTAAGAATTAGGAACGAAGAAGGAGGCGTAGCAAGCTCCAAAACCAAAAGTACGGAGGTTGGTGAAAGAACCTTTGCAAGTGAGATGGGTCAGCAAGGAGGACGATGACCCACATTGAAATTTAACAACTCAACTCGGCAGCAGTATGTCATGGTGCGAGAGAGACGGTGGTAGGTACGCGAGGTTGGTCAATTGACAGTTGGGCGCGGGGGAAACTTTACAACCCCGCCCCCCGGGAGGGAGGGGCTTTTTCAATTAAAAAAATCTGTTTTTTTTTCCCCCGCCATATAAATGTTGTCAGTTTTTTTTTGGCCGAAAAATGTCGTCAGTTTTTTTTTTTTTGACCGGAAAAAAATGTCGTCAGTTGAAATAACATAGAAAGGCAAACAAATTTATGAAGTATTATAAATTATATAAAATTCTAATTAAATTTGAGTAAAATGCTTTTAATTACGTTTTTACTTATTTTCTTACATATTTTCCCAGTTGAACTGAGAGAGAATAATAGATAAATAAAATTATAACAATATTTTATATTTTATTAAAATTATAAGTGAATTTTAAAATAATTTAAAATTAACCATAAAATTATCACTCAACCTGTCTTAAATTGATAATTTAACATTTTTAAATTTTATCAAGAGCTATTAAATTTTTTTACCACCGCCAGATTAATTATACCATTGTAATATCCAAAAAATTAAGTCATAGAAGTTCAATCAATAAATAATTTTTTTTGTATTTAGTTTTCGTCAATTGCGAACGCCTTGAGAAATGACGGCATATAATTTTTTTTTTTTTTGAGCCTTCCTCTTCATATGTTAATAAACACGTTCAACATAAATAAATTTTGTAATTTTTTTTCGTAAACAATTAATAATACACAAAACAAGGCCCACGAGTCGCCTCTGCAAGGATATACCTGGGAATTACTGGTTGGGGATTTAGTTAGGCCATAAAGCCAACAAATGCAGAGCCCATTTTGAAGAATCAAACATAAGGGCGCATAGAAATTTGAAGATAGCTTGAATGCTTGTTCCCGTTTTAATCTTTGAAAGAAGTCAAAGGATTATAACCTAAAGCAAAACTAAAATCAAGATATTAAATAAATAAATAAATAAAACGTCTTGTTATAAACAGTTTTCTAAGTTACAATTGAATCACCCTAAAAACAATCTTTGCGACACCAACAAAAACAGGGACATCAAAGCAAATTGTGGATACACAAACCATCCAGATGCAGAGTAAATCATTAACAATGTAGAGAAGACAAGCAAAACTGGCACATTATCATCACAGCATGAAATTAAGGCATGCACTAAGTTCATCTTCCCTCTGGTTGTAAATAGCTCACCAGTCATCCTTTTTCAATTCTTTTTTTTTTATGATGAATGCTTCATGTGCAGAATTTTCAGAGTAACATGGCAAGACACTTAAATGGTAAACGAAGAAAAAGCACTCTGTACTGAAGCTACAAAGAGGATTAGTAGTTTTCCACCATTAAAAGCCTTCATCATCCATCACTCTTCATCATCAGAACTAGTGTCATATGCCAAGCCGAGCAATCCACCAGCAGGATTATCCATCTTAATCTTTCCTTCTGCCTCTCGTGATTCCCCTGATGAAGGCTGTTTCTTATTTGCTTCTGACAAGGACTGCTGTCCCTTCTCTTTCAGTCTTTCACTCTCAGACTCACGTTTTGTAATATTAGCATTACTTGGAACTGGGGTTGATTGATTGCCATCAGATGGGCTAGAAAGCTTTGGTCGCTTTGGCTTAATTTCCACAACTTTCTTCAGCAGATCTTGCTGCCTACATCACAAAGGATATAGACTATGAACAACACCAGAACCAGAACAAAAATAAGATATGAATAAAGGGGGAAGAGAAGGGGGAGGGAAGAGAAAAGATCTACCTTATCCCGCTCTTTGGTTTTGGTTCAACACGAAGTGGTAAGGGTACTGATGCAGGGGTAGAATCCGCCAAGTTTGCAGCTCTGTGTCCATTTGTCAAGGAAACACCAGAACACAACTTAAAGCACGGGTAATTTTATCATAGCGTTGTCATTATCAAATAATGATGACATCAGCTAAAAACTACCAGGGTTGAATTTGGATTAATCAAGTCAATAGAAATTATTTAAACATTTGTATCCGTTGTGATCCTCTTTCACAGAAAACAATCCCTTCGGTATTTGTTTGAGATCACCAAATCATTACTTTGTCAGTTTTATAAAACTGAACTACAACTGACAAAATCAACAAGAGTACTCAAACATTTCGATGAAAGAATCAATGTGTCTTGCTTTCAAAATAACAGAAAATAAAATGAAAAATGATGCAAGGTAAGTAATAGAAAAGGAATAGAATTCAAATAGTTATAATTAAAACACCCATAATTCTACTCTCTAGGAGATAGGGAGAACATACAGGAACAGAAGGGAAGAAATAATACATATTGAAATCACAGTTCCATTCATTTTTAAGCAGTCAGAGAAAAGATTATTAAATTGTGCACATTGCTAACCAGTTAATTAAACTGTGGTTCTATGATATAAGAAACAGTTATGAACCCAAGAAGAATAAGAAGACACAGCTCCTTCAGTATGGCTGACCAGAAAAGGATATCTTAAATGCAGCAAATGCCCGTTTTTCAGTACGACGCAGGAGGCGCTCAGCATCCTCCTCAGCTTCCATCTGCTCCTTGAGATAGAGTAGATCATCACTGTCCAATGCTGCATATATAAAATTTCAAAAGGAGATCAAAGCAACTAAGGTAATATAATGGCAACAGATAAGACCAAGTGCAGGAACACATGCAACAGACAAAAGCAATCATGGTAAAGTGGTACCCCCTCGCCCATGAAGGTAACCTCCACGCTCTCCAGCAACCTCTTGCATCTGCTTGCATCAGCCACCCGGTACAGGAAGCCAATATCCCTGCCGGGGCATGTTATCAGCAAAATCTCTCAAATTGCAACATAAAATAATTTTAAGTGCGAGACAAGGTAGGTATAATTACAATCACTGTTAAAACTGGTCCCTTCATCATAGTCCTAATTTATTTAGGACCAAATAAAAGCTGTAGAAGGAATTAACAAAGTGAAATGATAGGCCAAAAGAGAGCCAAAACAGAAAAGAAACAAATAAAAAGTTTTCAAGAGAGAAGTATACAACTTGTGTAGCCCATTTCCTGCTCTCACAAATGAAAGAGAAGAAACTCAAAATTATACAGCATGAGTAAGTAGTAACCCAGATTCTTCAATTAAGTCACAAATAGAGCCAGGCCATCCTATGAATGCCAGAGTTCTGTAAACAACATCTAGTATCATGTACCCTCATATAGTATTTATGATACCAAGTGATGGATACCAGATGATAAGGGCTTAGACTCAGATAAGGATGCCCTGCACACCATTCGTTCATGAGGATTGGTGCAGGCTGGGCATACCGCATACCCGTGAGTTTCCACCTCGTGTTAAGTTTCTTTCTACTTGTGCATATAACAACCAAAGAAAACCGTGTAAGATTGAAGAAGATTATATATATATAGTATGAAGACTACAGAAAAGGAATTATGGGTATGAATGCATCGGCTTAGTTGCACAAGCTGCATTTTATAGTCCATTCCGAGGTAATTCCTGGTGTATATAAGTAGATTGTAAAAGAGTTCCTTTTAAGTGACAAATCGAGCCCAACCACTAAAGATTAGCACAACATTCAAACTCAAGCTTAAGCTTACAAGCATATGGATGCTCAATTTTTCTTTTGGCCAGCATATGAGTGCTCAACAATCATTTAAAGCCTCACATAGATTCGCCAAAAACGGAAAGCGAGGAAAAATAAAAAGCATTCAAGGAAAAAGAAGGCGGGGGAGGGCGATTCAATGCGCTAACCTTGGCAACCATACGTTGAAAAGTAATGTCTTCATCGTCTATCTTATCTTTTCCTTTAGCCCATTTTTTGTCTGCAGATTCAAAACGAAATTAAATCAAAACTAAAAACTATAAAATAAGAGGGGGTGGAAGAAGAAGAAAATTTCACACACCAAAAGAAATCAAAATCAATTACCTTTCGGGTCGCTTAGGTTAGTATATTCTCGAACTTCCCTACCCGCCGCCATCTCCGATTATTTGCACCGACCTGGAGATGCAGCTTCTTTTTTCCTCAGAAAAGAAGAGATGAGACTGTCAAGTTCTTGGGATTACGAATTGGAGAGCAGAAGATGATTACTTTCCTGAGGACGAACGAAGAAGACGCTTCTAGAACACGTATCAGAATAACGACCAAAAATTGAGGGTTAGGTATTATTATGGATTCTCGCCTGTGCGCGGGAAAGAGACAGAGAGGGGGGTGGGGTATAAATCCGGACTCTCTCGTCGCTGATGCGAATAACGCTGGAGAACACAGGGATGAGGAGTGACCGAGTGAGGAGTGACCCAGGGAATGGATTGAGCCCTTTTTTTCTTTAAAAAAAAAACAAATAATAATTATAATAAATAAATTGAGGGAATTGAACCTTTTTAACTCGCGTCTATGAGCCCGTGTAAAGACATTTGGGCTTTAATGAGAGCAGGCCCGTTAATCTAATCTTTCCCACCTCAAAAAGATTTGAAAAATCCAACCGGATCTAATAATCCAATATAATAATGTGATGAACCAGATTCAAATTCTTAAGAGAATCATTGATATTTAGTGCTCGACAGAAACTTAAAAAGTTTTTGAATAAAAATCAAATAATTATTTTAAAACTAATTTTACAATATACAAAATGAGTATGTGGAATGAGTTCTCTATTTGCGTTAAATTCATCCAAACATCTCCTAATTTCTCTTTTTTACAACTTTTATCCACTTTCTCTCCCTCTCCTCTCTCCACTGTTAGATTAAAATTTGAGCAGTATATATTTAATATTTTTGAAATTATTTTTAAATGTTTTATTGTAGTTTTTAACTGGAGTTTAGCATTTTCAAATTTATTATTTATTTTTTAATAATTTGATATTTTTAGTAATTTCAAAAAATTTAAATTGGCTACTCAAATTTTAATCCAATAGGAGAGATGAATATTGAAAGGGAAGAGTAGAAGAGGAAAGTCAAATCTACTCAACAGTGCTTCAAGTTAAACCAACATAATCAATTTTTCTCAATTAATCCTATTATATATTTTCTCCATAATAATTAAGTAGGAGAAGGAGGAA